TCCAGTTCTCTCTTGAACACTGTGAGGGGTTGGCCAGTTATGCCCCTTATGTGTAGTGGAAGCGTGTTGAACAGTCTCGGGCCTCTGATGTTGACCCTCCGTAAATTTAGATTGTAGTGTTTAAGAGTTTTTTCTGGGGGGAGCTCCGTCGGCTCCCCGGAGCTTTACCGGCTGATATGCTAATGTCAGACTTTGGCATCAGTCATGTGTATGGAGTTCTAGGGCCTACCAGGGACCACGAGCCAGAACCTGGCCCCCTCAGAGAGGCAAGGGGAGCAATGGCCTATAGAAACCCCCGTGTGGTTGGAAGCATTCTATGTCTGCCATCGACCGGGTCAAGCATCCAGAAAGGTAAGCATTCCAAAACAAACCCCTATTCTGGTGAAAATTGCTACCTAAAGCCGAACTAGTGGATAGAACTCTTCAACAGAAAACAAGGAAACTAGTATGACGTCATACGTCACCGCGCCGCTGTCTGCGCAGCTCCCCCCTCCCCGGGAGGGGGAAGGGGGAGCCCCAGACCTCCCACGCCGGCTATCCACCCATCAGTTCTTCGGCTGATGCTATAGGCAATGGTTATGTGCTCCGGCTCCAGTGGTTGTTTCAGCACTGTACCTAGAGTGTGGTGTCTGTTTTCTAGGTGGTGCGTGAGCCGGGAGTGATTCTTCAGTACTCGGGCTGCATGCGCCTAGGGTTCCCTTCCATAGGTGCCCTGTAAGTACTGGCCTTGGGGCTTGGGGCCACCTTCCACGAGTTCGTTTTGGGACTTGGGGGTGTTGGTTGCTTCGGTTCCATCCACGCCCCCTTGTCTTTCCCCTGGATCACCCTTCCTGCCTGCATCCGGTTCCTTACCGTCTGTAGGTTCGGGGCGGGGTTTTTGATGGTGTTGAGACTCGGGCAGTCTTGGGGAATTCCCCTTCCGGGGTAGTGACGGGGGCATTTGAGCCCGTTCCTCCAGCCGTGTTGTACGAGTCTGCCAGTGGGCTCCCTTCATTAGTGTTTTCACGGCTGCCCCGGTTTTCTGATACGGCGGGGGCTTTGGGGGAACGGCTCGGCCCCGGGGCCTGTCGTGTAGGTTCCCGGGGCTGGGAAGGGGCTGACTTGGGGGGCCTTGACCCCGTTGGACCCCGTGGGGGTTTTTTATCCCCCTCTAGGCGGGGCTTGTGGTTACGTGGAGTGGGGTTTTTCCTCCCCACTCGCCGTACGTGCTGTTGGGCGTCGGCCTCTCCCCGGGCTCAGTTCCTTGGCCTTTGAGTCGGTTGGTTCCGTCCTGTGGGTGGATGTTTCCTCCCACCCCTTTTTGGGACTGTGTTTTCGTCATGTTTCCCTGTTCGATGGGGTTCTGCGTGACTTCTGATCTCGGGTGCGCCTGCGCCCTCGTGTGCCTTCGGGACTAGTGTTGGCTTCTGTGTTCTCGAGGGTACGGGAAGGTTTTTCGCTACTTCCCGCATTATTGGAACGTCTGTCGGCTCCTCGTCCCTGTCGCCCGGTTGGGTTCCTTTTTGGGCTCTTTGCTTCTTTGGCCGGTTTTATTGTTCCTGCTTCCTCTTTTGGCTACTTTTCTCATGCAGTAGTCCTGGCTGGCGCCTTCCCGCAGGGAGGGTGTGCGGTTCGGCCAGCGTGTTATGCGCATGCGCCGTGGAGTTTGTTTTGGTCTGGGCGGTGTTTCAGTGCTGGTGTTTTGCGCCCTTTTTGCTACAGTGCTTTGCCTCTCGTTCTTCTCCGTGGCTGCGGTATGTGCCCCTTCACGCCGGGGGTGTCCTGGTTCCCAGTTGTGGGGAGGACACCGCGGTTTTCCCTGTGTCATGAGTGTGGACCGCCTCCTTCGCCTCTCCCTGCTCTCCTGCGGGTCCGGCAGGGTCCGGCTCTGGCGTCTTCACCTGGCGGTGCTCCCGGGTTCTTCTGGGCACGGTTGAGTCGTGTCAAGTTCATGCCACCATTCGCCAGGTGAGTTTCTGCGGTCTGGCGTCTTTTGGCCGGGCGCTGGATGCGGTGTTGTTTATATACCTGTCTTTATTTAGGTATATTTTTGTACGACTGAGACCGTTCGCACACCAGTGACTGTCCCTTTTTTTTCAACCCTTCCTGTCCCCCTCATGTGCATGTCCAACCCATGCTGGAGTCATTCAGGGGACCCTCCTTTTTAATGTTGTGAGGTGTGGGGGTTGCAGGGTTGGTTCTGTACTCACCTAGTAAGGCTCCTGGCTGTGCTTGCAGGTTTTGAGCTCTGGCTCTTGGGTCCCGCCTATCTGGCAGAACTTGCGGGATAGTACCAGTGGAGTGCAGTGGTGCTATTGGCACATTTGGGGAACACTGTATTACCATCAGAGGTCTGTGCTTGTTACATGCCCTACTTGCGAGCATAAGCATTCTTGCTGGTTCGTCCGTGGACTTCCAGGGCGCACTAGCCTGTTTTCGTATGGCAGTTCCGGCCCGTCCTGGTTGTGGGGGTATGTGGGCCGGTGGACTGCTCCTAGCAGCTGCCTGGTGGGCCACCCTCTGGCCGGTCTAGCCTGGCTTTGGGCCGGGCTTCAGGTGTAAAAGAGCTCCCAGTACCTCATCCAGCGGGTATCGAGCGGGGTTTCTCCGCCGTCGGTCGCCTGGTGCAGGTTTCTGGGCCTGCAGGGTTTTGTTGTGTCTCTGTTGGTCCTGTCTGGGGTCTGCCTGCTCCATTCTCTGCCTTTGCAGAAGGGAGTTGCTATTTACATGTTGCATGTTGCAGTGGTGCCTGTTGCTGCTGCTGCACGTGTGCATTGGTACCGTGTTTCACGGTGGCGTGTCCTTGTTCCTGTGTCCGGTTGTGGAGTGGCACTTTGCTGCCGTTTTGTGCCTGGGGATTGCGTGGGGGTTTTTCTGTCCCTGCCTGATTGTCCACCCCTGGTTGTTCTCCTGGGGTTTTTGTGCTTCTGCTCTTTCTTCCTGCCTCCTCTGCAGCAGGGATGTTCTGCGTGTGTTCTTAGGAGTTGGTCAGCCTGTGTTCTGTGATGTGCTTCTTTGAATCGGACTATTGCAGTTGTTCGTACCCCTTGGTTCGGGTACTGTTCTGGCGGCGACCCTTCTGCCTTCTTTAATTTCCTAGCTTGCCCTGCCGGTTGGTTTTTTTTTGGGGGTTTTGCGATGTCTCGCGTCGGACCCGTCGTGTCTGAACTCCTGGCGGGCTTGCATGCTTTGGGGAGTTTTTCTGTTCGGCAGACGTTCCATCTCCTTGTGCCGCCTGGGTTTCGGTGGTCGCACCCGAGATCTTCCCGCGGCTCCGCCTTTTTTCCTGGGCTCGGAGGGGCCTTGTCGGGGCTGCTTATGTTCTGCCTCGCGGTCTCGCCTCCGGTTGGTGGTCGGGTGGCTTCGTGGTAGGTGTCCCACCTGCGTGCTTCTCTTGGCGGCAGTATGGGGTATTTTGGCGGTCCTTCCTTTTCCTGTCCCTTCTTAGGTGGTTACTCTTGTTAGCTTGGTTTACTCTCGGCTTGGTTTTCTGGTGGGGGTTGGGGGCCGTCGTCTTGCCACATACTGTCGCCTCTTTTCGTGCGGCATGGGCGGAGCCGCTTCAGCTTGCTTTCGGTCTTGGTGTTGCTTCTGCACCGTTAGTCAGCTGTTTTGTGCGTCGTTTCACCTCCGGCCTGTTCGTGCGCCGCTTGCACCATCCTGGTCTCTAGTCAGCGTGCTCTGTCTTCTCCTCGGTTGGTAGTGCCCCTTCGGTTCCGGTGTGTTTTTTCGTCGGCTCTTTCCTTTGGGCCTTTGCCTCTGGGGGTCGAGTCGCTGAGTTTTCTTGCTCCTTCGGTTTTAGCGTTTTGGTTGTTTGGTGGCAGCAGTCTCCATCTTTTCTGGCGCGGGGTGGGGCTGCTGCATTCTGGTGGGGTCCAGGGTTTGTTGGTGCTTCGTTGGTCGGGCCGGGGGTGTGTCGTTTGTGTTCAGTGGCGGCCCTCCGCTGTTGTTTGCGTGCCATGGCGTTTGGGTCCGGAGCGCGTTTTGCGTTGCTCCGGTTCTGTTCTTCCCAGTTTGCGGGTGATAGTGTCCCGGGTGGTCAGCCGTGTTTTTGCGGCTAAGCTGCCTGTGTTCTTCCCTCATGCCTGTGGCGTTCGTGGCTTCGCTGCTCTTGCTGCCGTCTGGGCGACGTGGTCGTTCGGGCATGGATTTTTGGTGTTCGTGCAGGGGCCTTGCTGCTTGTGGTTCTCGTGTTGTTCCCGGGATTTTCGGGGCTGTGGCGCCTTGGGTTGGCGTTTGCTGCCGGTTGTCTCGCCTCCTTGGGGGGTGCGTGGTGTCCGCCTCCCGGTTCTGTCCCTTTGACCTTCCGCTGTGGGTAGTTAGCTCCGGGGAGCCGACGGGGCTCCCCCCAGAAAACCAGCGTTGAATGTAATGAAACGCCATTTTCTGGGTGAGACCCGGAGGCTCCCCGGCAACCCTCCCTCCCTCCGGTCGGCGTTTTTCGCGTGTTTTGACATCCAGCCTCAGAATTGATGGGTGGATAGCCGGCGTGGGAGGTCTGGGGCTCCCCCTTCCCCTTCCCGGGGAGGGGGGAGCTGCGCAGACAGCGGCGCGGTGACGTATGACGTCATACTAGTTTCCTTGTTTTCTGTTGAAGAGTTCTATCCACTAGTTCGGCTTTAGGTAGCAATTTTCACCAGAATAGGGGTTTGTTTTGGAATGCTTACCTTTCTGGATGCTTGACCCGGTCGATGGCAGACATAGAATGCTTCCAACCACACGGGGGTTTCTATAGGCCATTGCTCCCCTTGCCTCTCTGAGGGGGCCAGGTTCTGGCTCGTGGTCCCCGGTAGGCCCTAGAACTCCATACACATGACTGATGCCAAAGTCTGACATTAGCATATCAGCCGGTAAAGCTCCGGGGAGCCTCCGGGTCTCACCCAGAAAATGGCGTTTCATTACATTCAACGCTGGTTTTTTCCTTTCAGTGGGGTTCTTCTTGATTCTTATGTTTCCTGTACTGTATTTATAGTGTGCAATGCTAATATGAATATTCATAATAATATGAATTCATATTTCAGTTTTCAACATATAACTGACTGATGGGGAAGAATAAGTTGCATACAAGAAATCCCAGCAAGTCTGGTAATCCCATATATAAAAAGGCAGGCACTGGAGCTCCTCTCAAGGCCAAAACTAAAGTCAAGCCGGTTAAAACCAACCTCAAGCAGGTAAGCTTTTTATATTGGCTTAATTCTTCACAAATTTTGTTTATTGTTGCACCATATGCTGTACTGAGATAAAAAAAAAATAAGGCCAGAACAAAAGTGGACCTCAAGAAAAAACTAAACAGTTTCCTGCAAGAAGTGCCAGACCAACTGGGTTTTAGTGGATATGTGGGCATGTGGGCTGCTCCAAGCAATAGTCTGTTGGACCAGGCTATCACAAGTCAAACCTGATGCCAGGCCATGCTTGGAAAGGAGAACTCCTAGAACCCACTTCAGGTATGATCTAAGTATATGAGAAAAAAAATTGTGCAATTTGTTAGCTTGAAATGAAAGTACTGTACTGTAATGATTGTGTGATTTTTATCCATTTCCTACTGTCATAGTAGGAAGGAACTCACCTGGGAAGGTGAGTTCTTACAAGAATTGTAAGACAATTGGGTTACAAATGGTAGAAAATATAATTGTGCTAAGTAAACATAACAATACATTATAACCCAGTATTTGTGACACTCGATGCTGGAAAGTGGAAATAGCAACTCTGATAATCCTCGTGGTATGCTGCCTATAGTAGTTAATTGGTGAATGGTTACATCTGCATTTAATATTGGTCTTTGAGGCACTTGAGACAGGCAAACAAGGGTAAGTCATTGGCTATTTGTAAATCAAATGCTTTATAGTACAGTACATGTTTTTTTTAGTCTGACATTTTGAAGTGTAGAGATGGTGAGTGTGGGGTGGGCAGAGGAAGACTGCATTCACCTAGTTGTGTTTGCGGGGGTTGAGCTTTTGCTCTTTCAGCCCGCCTCTCAACTGTCAATCAACTGCACTAACTACTTTTTGTTTTTTTCTCCCCAACACCACTCACACACCCCTCTATGAAGCAGCCTGTGACAGCTGACTAACTCCCAGGTACCTATTTACTGCTAGATAACAGGGGCATTCAGGGTGAAAGAAACTTTGCCCATTTGTTTCTGCCTGGTGTGGGAATCGAACCCGCGCCACAGAATTACGAGTCCTGCTCGCTATCCACCAGGCTACCAGGCCCCCATGAGATCACTGTATGTGATCTCAAAGGAAACCCTCAAGTGGGTGAGATGTAAACCATTTGAAGGGTTACCTGTGCACTAATTTATATACAATTTCTAAGGAAACATAATTAATTGTAACCCATCCACCTCTGTCCACTGGATGGGGGGGTGGGAGTGTGAAGGATAAACATTTCAATTGTGTCACTAGCTCTCCACATGTCAGTTGCTTAATTTAGAAACTGTACTTGTGGTCGGTCTCAAGCCCATTGTTGATGTGACAATGTTCACTGAATTTTGTATCTAGCTCATCAAGACTGTAACTTGCTTAGCTAAATGAATTGTGGGGTTCAGTCCCTGAGCCCATTATGTGCCTCTGTAACCCTTTCCACTACTGCCCACAGGATAGGTATGCGGTGCATAATAAATGAACTAAACCTAGAAAGTATTATACAGTAGCTTTTACTTTTTCAGACTGTAATGCTGGATCTTATATTTGTGTAAGTTTGTTATATTGCAGTTTGTATGTTGGCACTCTGACTTGTTTCAAGTGACCACATGTCAGTGCCAGTTGTTGCATGTTTGTATTGATAATTAACATGAAAATCTTCATAACTATTAGTATTTTACTGTATGGTATGTTCAGTGATATTGTGTATACCTTTAACATTTTACTGTAAATATTTTACTTTTTACTCAATAGCTGAAAATTGCCAATAAGGAGGCTATTGCATCATTAGATAAGAAACTTGGATCCTTCCATAAAGCCATGCAGACGAAAGAAAATTCTTCTTTTGAACAACCTGTGAGATCATCAGAAAAAGACCCGCCACCTGTCGACATGGAGGAAACGTCAGAAGAACCGTCAAAGATGTGATATTCGTCAGCATAAGTATTGTAGAATAATTTGACATTTACCAGTGGACTGTTTACAAATATTTTACCCAAATAAAAATTATAAATACTGTATTGTTTCTGTTTTCATCATTATTTTAATAATATTCAATTTCTTTGTTTTTAATCCATTTATACACACCTGTGTGTGTTTTACCAAATAATATATATTTTTGTTTGTGTCATGCTCCTAACTTCACCTATAGTTGCCACAGGGATCTTGAGGTTATCTTGAGATGATTTCGGGGCATAGTGTCCTCGCGGCCCGGTCCTTGACAAGGCCTTCACCCCCAGGAAGCAACCCGTGACGGATGACTAACTCCCAGGTATTTATTTACTGCTAGGTAAAAGGAGCATTAGGGTGAAAGAAACTCTGCCCATTGTTTCTCGCAGGCGCCCGGGATCGAACCCAGGACCACAGGATCACGCGTCCCGTGTTCTGTCCGCTCAGCCACCGGCTCCCCAAAGCCGGTCGATGGGATGGGACGGGATGTAAGAAAGTTCTCTTTCATTGTGCAAGTTGTGAACAAATGGAATGAAATAAGGAAAGTGATGGCTGAAGATAGCTCACTCTACAGCTTTAAAAGTATCGTAGATGTAACAGAGTCATAGGGAGCTACGAGTAGTGTTTCACCAGATTCCTAAAAGTGAAGAGATGGGATCATAAGCTAATGCTCACTACTTATATGCACATAATGTGCTCTGTAGGTAAGAATTGTTGATATGCTCTGTCCAGTAGTAATCCTTGTGCTTACGTTTATTGAGACTGTGTTCTTGTTTCACTAAATTCCAGCACCGAGGACAAGGTCTGCATTAACGTAAGTTTTATTTCACCACCATAGTAATTATACATGGAGGGGAATGCATTGAAGGTTTTGCAGTTGATGCACCATGCCCCCTGGAAGTGGTGTTGGCAAGCCACCTGCCCACGCAGCCAGCCCATCTGCCTTCCAGCCAGTTACCAATCTATCCACCTACCTACCAAGCCAGCTCACCAGTCAGTCAGCCATCAATCCACCCACCCACCTTCTAACCCTTCCCAAAGTCAGCCACCAATCCACCCACCCACCCACCCTGCCTGCCCAAAATATCCCGCCTGAAGGGACAACTGAACCAAGAGGAGGAAAGAAACGCCAACACTTTGTCGAGAGACCAAGTTAGTTCAGGAAGAGCATGAACTGGCTGGAGATGAAAGAACAAGTAGTCCCCATGGCACAGTAGTAAAACACTCAATCAGCGCTTTGCAAGGGATTTTGTCAGGGAGGATGTATTAGGGGCCAATCCTTAGCTGTATGCCTCTGTTCACCCAGCAGTGAATGGGTACCTGGTTGTTAAACGATTTGACAGGTCATATTCCAGGAAAAACTGGGATTAAAGACCTACCCAAAACTCTGTGTGCTAGTGGCTTTACAAGAATGTAAGAACTCTTGAATACTAAATAAATAACACAATACTACCATATTGTTTGGCCTTGCCTGAGCCATAACAGTGGCTCAGGCAATGCCAAACAATATGGTAGTATTATACATAAGATGCCAATCTTAATTCAACCAGGACAAACTGACAAAACCAAAGGAACTAACACCGAAGAAAGACAATGAAGGGACAGAAAGAAGTGATACGAACACCAGGCATGTTTGTGTTGGCGCCATGACGAGAGATGCAGGTGGGACACCAACAATCCAGCCACCTGCTCACCATATAAATGATGATAGATCCATATCAAAAACTCTAGATGTATAGAACAGAAGAGGAGGTCGAACCAGCGAGACATGTCATCAGACCGATCTGCTGAAAAAGACGAAGCCATGTATAAAAATGCCCTGGTTTGGACATCAAGCCAGAAGAATTGGAAGCCAAAACTCAGTCAGCCACTGAAGATCTAGAAGGATTACTTTGCTCGAGTACGACTCCAGTCTGGACAGCACCCAGAGCAACAACTGAATCGAGGGAAAGGGGTATATGAACCCCACCTTGACCAATCCAGTTGAAAGGCATCCACCGCAAGAGCTTTGCGACTCTGTAGAGAAGGTAGTGAATGCAGATATAACATCACCTCACCCAAAAAACACTGGAGGCAGACATGACGTCATCTCACCCTAAACACATTTCATATTTGATAAACTTGATATTGATTGATCAAGGTGGTATTCACGAGCGAGAACACAAAAGAGGACTTGTTATCAAGGAAGAGCACACTAGTAAATGTTCTGAAGTTCAAAACACTATTCTTGCAGTGATATGATATGGGAAGAGAGAATGAGGGCAGCAGCCGCAAGGATGGAGCGCAGAGAGAGAGAGAGAGAGAGAAAGGAATTGGGGAACTACAACCCCAAACCCTGCAATTCCAGAGGGAAGTAGGGAACCCTCCACAACCAGTTCATTTTTTTTTTTTTTTTGAGGGAGGGAGGGAAGTAAAGAGGAAGGAGAGGCATAGGTGAAGGGAAGTTTAGAAGTGAGAGGTATGAAAGCAGGCGGGCTGTCCGCCTTGCTGACACGATGTGTGGGTGTTGGCAGCTAAGCTAAGCTGGCTCCCTCTTGTCAGGGAGCTGTGTGTGTGTGAGAGAGGTTCTTCACATGTTTTTCACCATATATAATACTGTGTCGCATTCATATATATACACTCCGATGCTTCCACACATGTTGTTTTGTTCAAGGCTATTTATTTGAGTATTATTATTTATTGATTTATTCATACATACACACACACATCATTTATTTACATATACACATACATACTCAACTTTCCAATTATTGGGGGAAGGATTTCTGGTCAGTATTTCATCTGGGAATTATATATTGTGGGACTGGGTTTTCATCAAGTAAATCGTGGCTCTTTGGCCACCAGCTGTGGGAGCGAGGCGTCTCATCTTGGAGTAATCTTTCTAACATTGGGTCCTTTAACAGTTCATGGTGTTCCACACCCTGATGGCTTGGTGCTGAGGTCTGATGTTTAGTGGCTGTATGTTCAGGGGCTCATGGATTGTCTGATCATATGGTGGACGGTGTGTTTCTGCTCTCCTTAGCGCTTTATTTTGCACTGCTTGCAGTTTCTGCATGTTAGTTTTCTTTATGATGTGTAGTAGTACTGGGGGATACTCTAGATGCGGTAGAACTAGAGCCTTATATAAGTGTACCTAAATGCTTGTACCGAGGCTTCAGAATCTCCTCAGTTTTCCTAAGGCTGCTTTGGCTTTGTTTATTCGGTCCCTTACATGAATTTGTATCCCTGTTCTATTTATCATAAGTCCCAGTATTCTGCCTACCTCCGCATATTGGATCGGATGGTTGTCAAGGATGATGGGGTCCGGGTTTCTTTTTGCAATGTGTATTATCTGAAACTTGTTTGTTAGTGCTAATTTTCCATTGCTTTTCAAAGTTGTTTATGAGTTCAATTGCTGCCTTGGTCACGTCAGCGTATGTGATGTATTCTCCGTGTTGGGGTTGGGGTAGGTCAGCTGTATGTATGTTGAATAGAGTGGGAGAGAGGCAGCTTCCTTGTGGTATTCCACTTTTCAGTTCTATTACGTCACCCGAGTAGCTGCCGATATTAAGCCTAGCAGTTCTGTTGTCAACCAGTTCAACAGCACCAGTGAGAGGAGGAGCACCACCCCCACCTCCCACCCAATAAACCTGCCCCAACCCCTGCCAGTCCCCACTAAGTGCCCACCTAGGGCACCCTCCCCCCCTCTCCCCAGGACCTCCCTTCTCCCCCCCCCCCCCCGCCTCTCCTTCCTCCCCCCACCCCCGCAAGGTCCCAATTCTACCCCACCCCCCTAACCCCTCTCTTCTCCAACATGCTCTCCCTTCTTCCCCAACCTCGAACCTCCGTTCTCCCACACCCCCTCTAAGCCCTCCAGTCTTCCCCACTCCCCTTAGCCCTCCCTTCTCCCCCATTCCCCTAAGTCTCACATTCTCCCTAAGCCCCCCCTTCTCCCCCCCTCTCCTACATGACGTCACGTCACCCTAAACACTGGAGGCAGACATGACATCATCTCACCCTAAACACACTGGAGGCAGACATGACATCATCTCACCCTAAACACACTGGAGGCAGACATGACATCATCTCACCCTAAACACTGGAGGCAGACATGACATCATCTCACCCTAAACACACTGGAGGCAGACATGACATCATCTCACACTAAACACACTGGAGGCAGACATGACATCATCTCACCCTAAACACACTGGAGGCAGGCATGACATCATCTCACCCTAAACACATTGGATGCAGGCATTATGTCATCTCACCCTAAGCACACTGGAGGCAGACATGACGTCACCTCACCCTAAGCACACTGGAGGCAGACATGACGTCACCTCACCCTAAGCACACTGGAGGCAGACATGACGTCACCTCACCCTAAACACACTGGAGGCAGACATGACGTCACCTCACCCTAAACACACTGGAGGCAGACATTTATCACCCCGATATCAAAGTTACACACAAGATGACCATCTCCCACAACAACCATGACCGCGATTATAATGTCAATAAACTGCAAATGTTCCATTACCAAGCTCTCAGTGACCACACTATCCAAGAGTTACGTTAATACAACCGTTCATACTACGTCTGCCTGGCCCAACGAATCAAGTTCAAGTAAGTTTATTGAGAAAATAAAGTACATTTCAAAAGGATAGAGTAGCTTACGCTATATATAGTACCTCGTCTATATAAGGTCCGTCAAGGGGCTCACAAACCCATACTGAACACAATTATTAATCATAACCACAACGATTTTTTCGTTGGATTCTTGGAGAGATTTCTGAATGAGTTTCATATTTGCAGCAGCAAACACTTCAGGTTCCATAGCAATATGGAAGTTGTAGTGAAGGACCTGGTGACTCTAGTGGGAGCCCTGAGGACAGAGTTGGACTCTCTGCGGGAGGAGGTGCGTCAGCTTAAAAAACAACGAGAAGTAACGAAGGAGGAGACCAGCAGTAAAGGGACCTCGTCTTGGAGAGTTGCGAAAGACAGGGGCCTTAAGAAGACTTTGATAAAGCCGCCTTCAAACGCCATAGCAACTTCAAATTCATTTGACGTTTTGGAGGACGAGTG